GGGGGTAACTAGGGCGCAGTCATGATTTCAGTTTAAAATCCAGTTTGGGCATCCCTCGAATACAACACATCCCCACCGGACCAAAAAACTAGGTTGTATACATTCAGCATTGTCATCGCTTCGGCACAACATTCATGAAATCGTGACGCATTCTCGAACTGAAACCGTCCGTGACCACGCCCTAGTTTTCCATTTTTTTCCCATTTTTTTAAAAGAAGGTTAACTTGGTAATCTTGGACATGCCAAATGGAGCACAGACTGATTTTTTTGTGCGCGTCTTTTTTTTTTTCCTGTCACGAGTGATGCTCCCAGTACCATGAAGATTGTGAAGTACCCAGCCTTCATTGTTCATTTTAATATAAGCAATCGAACTGTGTTGGGGGACAAAAAAAGGACTCGGAGCACGACCTGACTTGCTTTCGGTGACGTGTCAAGATTCAAGCAGCAATCCCCACCAACCACCCGCGGCGCTCATGGTGCCAACCATCCGAGATAGTTGGCTTGCTCCCCCTGTTTGGTGTTGGTAGGATCTTTGGACATCACAGGTGTATGTGTGTGGTGTGTGGGTGAGTGGTGTGTGGGAGAGTGCTGGCTATAGATACTCTGTTGTTACTCGATGGGGAACGGGAGAAGTAGATGGGAGGTGCAGCTACTGGCAAGGTGTGTGGGAGAGTGCTCCGATAGACACTGCTGCTGTTAGTCGATGGGGAGCGAGGGAAGTGGATGGGAGGTGCAGCTACTGGCAAGGTGTGTGGGAGAGTGGTGTATCGGAGAGTGCTCGGTGTAAACACTGCTGTTACTCGATGGGGAGCGGAGGAAGTAGATGGGAGGTGCAGCTACTGGCAAAATGCTCGGTCTTTGCATCAGCCGGACCCACCCTACTCCCTGACCAAATTTAACTACACTTGAATGGATGGTACAAAGTCCTCCAGCTTCATACCTTTGAAGAATTTCCAGCATGACCTGCATAGCTCTTTGGACTATTTTGAAGATAAAGCGGCTTATTGGATTCCGGGCTCAATTTGGTTCAGAGTGAAGCAACATGCATCCCCTTAATTGTGTGAGAGGTAGCTATATGCCAGCAGGCGTCATGGTAGGTAAGTATATGTGTGAGAGGTAGCATGATTTGGTTCAGGGTGAAGCCACATGCATCCCCGTATAAGCCTAGGAATAGTGGTAGGTAGGTAGGTAGTGAAAGGTGAAATTGAGCGAAAAATAAAATAAAATCAAGGCAGGCCTTGGAGGTCATAGGCAGGGTTTAGAGGGGTCTAGCCGACTTCAATTAACATTGATCTTCTGTTCTGGTGAGAATTTGAGGATGATCCTCTGCCAGAAAGGTGATGCTGGAGCATCCGGCAGTATGTTGCAGTTCTTGCTATTGTCCTCCTTGAGAGTAAAGCCTCACAAATTGTGCTCTTCTTCATCTACATGGTGTGTAGTACTGTGTACAATTTTTTTTTTTTCTTTCAAGTATTTCATTTTCTCAACTTTGTTTTCAGTTTTCTAAGGACTTAAGGCATTTTTCGTAGGCTTTTCCATGCGTACAACTTTCGATTTGCAGTGTGCGCCAATATGGTCTTTCGAAGTTCTGGTAGTAAAACGTTTCGGTACTCAAACATTCCGTACCATGATGCACTATTCACACACAAGCACACACACACACACACACAATCAGTTTTTTGTCTGTCTGTTTTCCTGTTGCTGTCCGTCCTCGCTCCTATTCTTTCCGAGTATTCCCTCCGATTCTGTCCAATTATTTTTGCTTACTCAACTGAGCACCATCAAGTAGTGCCAAACAGTCGGTGGTTCCACGTTTGGAGTGCCTACTGCACTCTCAGGGGGGCTGCTCGGTTAGGGATGTCTGTGTTGCCTGTGGGTGATGCTGATGCTCGTCGGAGTGACTTCCTGGCTCAGTGGGTGGTGGGAACCAACAGTCTGTGGTGTTCAATCATGACGTGAGTAGGTGATGTGCCACTTTGCTCCGTGTCGGATGTGCGGACTGCCTTCTCTGCGCTCTGCCACTCTCTTGCTGCCTTTCCCGCTTGCTTTCACATGCGGTTCTCTGGAAATTGCTGTGTTCACTGTGTGGTGTGCCCGTGTTCCTGGTGTTGCCTTGTGCTTCGCTGCTCCACTGCCTTGCCGCTCATCCTTTGGTTGTGCCTTTCGTGTCGTTTTGCGTGGTTGGGTTGTCGGTGTTGCCTTGTCACTGCTCCGCTGCCTTGGGTGCGCTTCAGTTGCGTTGTCGGTGTTGCCTTGGGTGCTCCGCTGCACGTTTGCTGTGCTGCTCGACCGCTAGCCTTGTTGTTCCCTGCTGCGTGGTTGCCCTATTGGTGGTGCCTCCTGCTTCACTGCATGGTTGCTGCACTGCTTGTCCTGCGTGCCATGTCGTGCCTGGGAGTCGTTTTTGGTGTGGTGCAATCTGTTGTTCCGTGTTGCGTGGTTGCCCTATTGGTGGTGCCTTCTGCTTCACTGCGTGGTTGCTGCACTGCCTGTCCTGCATGCCATGTCGGGCCTGGGAGTCGTTTTTGGCGTGGTGCAACCGTGTTGCCTCTACTGCATTGCCTGGTGCTCCGCAGGGTTGCTGTGCCCGCTGCTGTATTCCGCTTGGGGACAGTCTGCCTTCAACAAGGATCAAAGGGTTCATGACCCAAACCATCAAATACGGAGATTCCGCAGATTGCCGAGGGTTCAGCCTCCTGAGGAGTCGGTGCAACTCTGACAAAACAATCTTTCATCAGTTTTTTTTTTTTCAGCCTTTGCTTGTTTCGGGACTCGTACTCTTTTCGGTTTGCCTGGTTTGTCTGCTTGTGTGTTGTCTGCCTACCTGCCTTCCCCATGCCCTTCAGCCTTTGCATTTTGCCATGCATTATTGCCCCATGTCTTTGTGTGCCCACCCGCCTCCCCCTTGCCCTCCAGCCTTTGCCCTTCGCTGCTGCACGTTGTTCTGTGCCTTATCGATTGTCTTGTGTCGTTTTTTTTCCGGTTCACTACCCTGCGCTGCTGCTAGTTGTTGTTGTCGTTTTTACAATGACAGTAGCCTGGGTAGTGCTAGGGGTGCTGATAAGAGCAGACACCGCTAGCATTCCCCGGGCGGCTCCATCTATTGGTGGGGAGCAGCACCTGCCGGAAACCGGGTCCAGCGTCCCTTACATGATTATCTGTTATAGAAGAACATATTGAGGCTGCTGCTAGTTGTTATTGTCTTTTTCTTTCCTTTTGTGGTCTTGTGGCCTAATGCCTTCGGGCCATGGTCCTGTGGTCTTGTTAGGATTGGTGAAAGATAGAAATGGATTCCTTCTCCCGTAGTGACTATGCGAGTGAGTCTTCGAAAAAGCCGAAAAGTTTTTCAGAGGTCGATGTATGCACATCTGTTGCTTTCATGTTCGGGATGTATGAGCGGCGTTCAGGCCTCCTTGGAATAGGGTCGAGTGAACTGCAATCTACAATGTGGATCACTCAACCTTCTGATGATATGACTTTTGATCACACTTTCAAACACAGCTCGCCGCGATTAGCATCACGGTGGTGTCCTGTTCTCATATAAAACGCACACACACACACACACACACACACACACACACACACACACACACACATGAATTGTGAACATGCCAAGACACCCACCAGCACTCCCCGTCCAGCCAACCCTGCACATACATGCAAGACCTTCCCCNCCTACACAAAACACGCACACACACACCCAACTGCCAACCCGTCCACGCCTCGACACCCCCCCACCGTCACACCCCCGCACCTATAAACCCCCCCTCCCCCGAAAAAAAAAAAAAACACGCACACAGACGGTTTTAAGGAATACTGCAAATGGTATCCATTCCCACGAATGCCAGTCCTGGAATTTGGGATAGATTAGGAACAAACACATCCTTCACACATTGTTAAGACCACAACAGAATTAAAATTATATTTAAAAAAAACACGCCACAACAGAATCACTACCCACCATTTTACAAACACTGCATTCCCCCATCGCCTTCAAAAAAAAAAAAAAAAAAAAAGGAAAAAAAGGCAGCAGATGCTCCATTTCCAGCAGAGTCCCCATTCGTGTGCAAAAGTGTTTTCAGTGGGAAAAGCTACCCTATATACCACGGCAAATTGGAATAAAAAGCATGTCTCCCCCCAATGCCTGCCCGGATGAGCGGAGAGTGTGCAGGGTACCACAGTTGCCCTTACGTCTGTCCAGTGTTCTTACTCACGCACACCCACTTCCTGTCATCTCGGACTCCAACAGATGAGCTGTCCCCTAGGAGGCAAGAAGAGAGAGGATCGCATGCGACAACCAAAAAGGAAAAAAGAAGGGGAGAGAGAAGGAAGACAGGGAGGAAGGTGGCGGAACCAAAAGCGAAAAAAGAAGGGGAGAGAACGAAGACAGGGAGGTGGCGCCCGAAGGGAGAAAATACTTAAGACCAGGGAATCTCCTAAGAATATGAAAATAACTTCTGCAAACTGTACTGATACAAAATCACAAATGGGTTTTGTGTGGGTGGCGCTGGGGGGGAAAGCGGGGGGGTTAGACAGAGAATACGACAGAGAGGCTGACCCAGCCAGACACATGAGGGGAGGAACAGATAGGGTCGCTTGATGAGGAGGGCCATAGCTCCTAGGGAAAAAGTGTGAAAGCTAAAAACTGTGGGCATCACCCACCATCAGATGTTTTGGGCCAAAAATACTGCTCAACCTCCACACCACCGTCTACTAGCATTCAAAATGTACATCTGTTCTGTCGGCGTAATCTGAAGGTGCACTGCTCAAGCAATCTACATTTCACTGACAAGTTGACAACACCTAAGCAGCCCAGGGATTCCTTAACAGGCTTGCTAAGGGACACAAGGACTCATGGCACCCAGCACTGAGAAGGAAATAAACCAAGCAATTTCCGGAAGAGCTTACGGCCTGCAATCCAAAACAGCACGTAACCACCTGTGATTCTATGTAACAGTGCTGTCGCAGTGCCTCCTCTTTGGCATGTATCAAACCAAACCGCATTCATTCATCCTATTATAATCTTTCATCAAAAAGGATAAAGAGCTCTTAAACTTGGCTGCCAGTTCACAACCCTCTCTCTCTCGCCTAAACTTGCCTGCCAGTTCATCTCTCTCTCTCTCTCTCTCTCTCTCTCTCTCTCTCTCTCTCTCTCTCTCTCTCT